TTCCATCGGGGAAATCTGACCCTCGTCGGGGACATCGCCCCCCGTCGGGGACCTCAGCCCCCCCCCCCCCACCACCACGTCGGGCAAATCCTGGTGCCACCTCTGAAAAGTAGGCGTATTGTAGAAGGGAATCACTAATGGGATTGACCTCAAAAGTACTACTTGCCGGAGTGGTACCGTATTTTGTGGATGCAGAGAAATATGGGTAGGCCTATATAGAACGACTAGAAAATAGGTGTAATATCGAAATTCCAAAAGAGGAAACATGTTATAAAGATATCCTGTTTTCTTATGTAAAACTGGATTTAAACTTTCAAAAAGTTTCTTCAATGTGTGTTTAGGCTTCATCGATACTGTATTGCGAATGCATCAATAGTCAATTATTCAATTGATTGAATAACGCTTTTGTATCATCGGCACACCTTTTTAGTGTAACCTTACAACGACTAGACGATAATTAATTAATTAATATAATATAGAGAAAACACTAAATAAAAAAATAAAAAAATGTTCTCTCTCTTATAAAGTATAATGAAAATAACCTGATGGGAAAAAAGAACAATGCATCGAAAAAAAATGGGGAGGGGGGATAGACTGGGGAATAACTCTCTAGGTAGAAAAAAATCCGTGGGGAAAATTAGCAGGTGGCTCAGGTGACAAGTAACCACCGTAATAGTGCTATATATTTTGTAAAGTAAAGTCTCAAACCACATCGATTTTGAGTCTACTAAATGTAAAAATCTTCCCAGGCTTTTCCAGATATGGCTAGAACTAACTTAATCTTTGACGTTTTTTGATAGCAGATTATTTTTTTTTTTAATTTCAGTGGGTTAACCCGACTTAAAGACAAGCTTGCGTACAAACCAACATGCACATTCAACTTCTATACAATAGAAGCCATGTACACACGCATGATCTTTTTAAAATTAAAAATCAAAATTTAAAAGTAGATAGATATTTTGGAAAACAAGAACAGAAAAAAAATACAATTTCTCCCATAATTACAGAAACTTCTTTTGGATGAAGTTCAAACTAATACAAATTTTGAAATGAATTAAAAAACATTAGAAAATTCAAGATTAAATACATTAAAAATACCAAGCTTTTCTTTTGACTTTTGGTAGTTATATATATGGTAGTTATTTATATATATATTTAACATAATTTGTTTTTATTTTTGGATAGATTCATGGGTCAAATTTGGCCCTCCGGCCACCTATTAAGAACCATGGTCATACACGTTTGGAGTCCATAGGAGGTCGGCCTTACCCACCATAACCAGAACCAGTTAACCATACCAATCAATTTTTAGTAACGCGTCAGTCCTTACTGCGTGCGTACGTGTATGATACTGACAACTGCAGTTTCAGTCACATAATCAACATTGGTTGTGACAATGAACGCGCAAGACCGCACGCGCCGCCAAAGCTTTCGGTGAGTTGAATCTCAAAAGAGATAATGAAAGATCTCTAATGACCAAAGTATATATAT